ATTAAAACACCAGTAATGTGCCATCTGCCAACTAGCAGATTATATGTCATCATCATCATCATCATCATCATCATCATCATCACTACATATAATACCTTATAATAAACACCTTCAGAGGTCTGGTGGAGTCCATGAGCTGTTTTGGCGGCACAAGGGGGACCTACACAATATTAGGCAGGTGGTTTTAATGTTATGGCTGATCGGTGTATATATACATACACATACATACATACCTACACATTTATTTTTTGTTTATTATAAGAATTATAGTGTTTATGCTGTTTATGAGATTTTCTTTATTTCTTTAAAAAAATATCCAGGTATGATATTTGTAATATGACACACAATTAATCTAGACTTTCTAGAGCTATTAAAATCCAGGCACGTGTATTATCCACTTTATTTTTTTTCCCCTAAATTCTCTGATTGAAAACGGTAGTCTGTTCCAGGTGCTGCAGATTTAGACAGATCCACGCTGATGCGAAATCATCAGTTATTGCCCTGTTTTAATCACACTCATTTTAGCATTGGGCAAGACAGTATAATTATATATCACAGCTAAGAGCACAGGCTGCTTCATTGTCCAATATCAATCATACACCATTACCCACAGCCATGGATGAGTAGCTCATGACTAATTGCCATAATGAACTGATCACGGGGCCTCCAGCCACTTCTTAAGAAATGAACTCTCCCTTCACAGCTGTAAAATAGAAATGCTATTAGCATCTTCTGAACGTGTGTTGGTGTGCATCCTGCAATGGTCATCATTCCCAGGCCAGGTTGTGACCAGTGCTATGTAAGTATGTAGATGATGGACGCTTGTGAGAATATTGGCCTTGCTTACTGTTGAGCGATTTGTTAAGGCCCAATTTGTTTTGATGACTCCCTGACCCTGCCATGCTTGTCATGTAATTTACTATTTGATAAGTGTGACAAACCCAGCTGTGCTTTACTACCAGTGACAGCATCGAAATGCAAGCCAAGCCCATTCAGAGGACTGCCACATACACAGCATACACAGACAAGAGCAACAAGACTGGAGAATATAATTAAATAGATAGATAGAATGGATTATTTGCCCAAGTAATAATAATTATATTAATAATAATAATCCAAAGGTTCTTGCTTTAAGGAGGACAGTAACAAACTGATTCAGTTAATGCTGCTTCACTTTTATCCTCAGACTTCAGCCTAGGGAACTGTGTTTGGTAATCACAATCATTGCCATTTAAGTCACCCTTGAGGACCTCTATGCAATTTTCTTTTGACCTTTAACTACCTGTCTGGGAGCTCGGAGTAGGACATTCTCAGACTTATGAATGAGATGAGTCAGGATGCAATACTAGGTGCCATCATGATGCACCATGGTGGCAAGGAGGTGTGTCTGAGGGCTTGGAGGGCACGTGCAGGGAGAGTTTTCCCATCATTCCCATCAGCCCTTGTTGATAATCAGGGCAGATTAGCCCTTTGTTCGGTCCTGTTCAAGCCCCACAGAACAGGTGGGGGCTCAGGCGGGAGCTGTTTTGATTGACACACTGTTATTGCACTGGAATCAAGGGAGAATTTTTAATTACTTTGTGACACACAGGTGTGAACGTCTCTTTCCCTCCCACCCTCATTCAGCCCCATATGCGGTGCTGGCAGCTGCCTGTGCAGAGTGAAGTGCACACTTTCCCATTAGCAGATTTTTTGCACCCCTACCCTACTCCCTTGGCCAATTCATCACCACATCCTCCCCCCTCCAGGAGCCTCCCTCCTTCTCTCTCTCCATTCCCCCACCCCCTCCATCTTGCTTCCCTCCATAGGAACTCATTACCATTCATGGTATTTCTGGACAAAGATATTCTCCGAGGATGGCTCACTCTAATTATCTGCCTGACTGTTATTGAGAGCTTTGATTAGGGGCTGTCACTATGAGTAACAGGCAGCAGGTAGAAGGGAGAAGAAGAGAGGCGGGTAGTCCATGGGGGTGTTCTACCAGCATTTCGTTTCTGTCAGAAATGAATTAAATATGGAGCATAAAGCCTTTTTGGCCATTTTGCAATGTCTTTTTGAGTCTGTTTTCTGTGGAGAAATAAATATAAAATACTCTGTCTCTAACTCTCTCTCTGTCTCTCTGTCTCTTTCACACACACACTCTCTCATCACTGCCTGCTTCTTCTTCTTCCAAATCTGTAGGTAAACCTGTGATGATAATAACAGAGTACATGGAAAACGGATCATTGGACACATTTCTGAAGGTGAGTATGTCTTGTTCACATTTGCAATGGAACTAAGCCAATAGGGAAATTCAACCAATAAGAAAATAAAACAAAAGTAGCTTATCATACTTATATACTGCCCGCAGTATTTCCTGATTAATGAAGGATCTAATTCCCAAAATAGTAACAAATTAGTAAACCACACTGAACCAGACCAGGATAAAGAGTGTACTGAAGATGAATGACTGAATGCAGTAAACACCTCATGCAGTGCTGTGCCAGTGGTCTTGCATATTAATTTACATGGCCTTCTTTTGTCCTGCAAGCTTCTGAGACTTTTTTCGTTGGGTCGTGTGAGATCCCAGTCCCGATTCAAGCCGCTAAGCTCGCGTGTCGGCGCCATTTCCAATTTGAATTTGTTTAAACAAACATCATAACAAAGCCGTTTTACAGAAATTCAAATTTATATCAAGCCAAAGAAAAACTCAGTGAGATGGCATATGGAAGAACCATACTCAAAAGGGAAGGCATCCTATTTTGGATGGGACCGGATGGTGAGATTTTGATAATTGCAGTTTAACAGTCAGGCAGAGAAAAGGCAAAAAAGTACTAAATGTCATGAAACTATACAGAATCTCAGCTGTAAGAATACTGTTAATGAGAGGCTTGATATGAGGAGAAGATGGATTTGGTGGAGTGCAACATTTGAGAATAATGGCAACAGTTTTTGAGAAATGAAAGTCTGTAGGGTATCCAGATAACATAATTTAGGCTGGTGAGACATAAGTACAGATATCTCCTAGGCAAAGAAGCTGACAGACAGACAGAAGAGATTGTTGGGGCATGGGAGAATACAATACCTTTAAAAGGGTGTATATACTGTGATCATTGTGAAAGCAGGGATTCTGACAGGTCTAGCTATGACAACAATACTAACAGCATCTCTGAGTCACACTAATGCTAAAAGGAAGTATATTCCATATAACTGAGTCATATATAGACATTTATACCACTTATGAAGAAACTTTTGCAATTAGCTATAAAGGATTTTTATGGTTTATAATGTGTTGTAAAGTTCATACATAAGCCATACAAAGGCTATTGCTATGTTTTTTTTTCTGTATTGTGGTGTGTATAGAAACATGACGGCCAGTTTACAGTGATTCAGCTTTTGGGCATGATGCGTGGCATTGCTGCTGGGATGCAGTATCTCTCTGAGATGAACTACGTACACCGAGACCTTGCAGCGAGGAACATTCTGGTAAATGGAAATCTGGTGTGTAAAGTCTCAGACTTTGGACTGTCCCGCGTGCTGGAGGACGACCCAGATGCAGTGTATACTACCAGGGTGAGCAAAAAGTTTATTTACAGTTCTGCTCTCTCTTTTTACCTCTTTTAGTTTCTTGTCTTTCACCTGTCCTTGTCTTTTCTATTTTCATTAAAAAAAAAAAAATCATACTCCAGGAACATCACAGCACAAAGGGCTTATTTTAGAATTCTAATTATCCTTTAATGCTGCGCTCCCCTCCCCAGCATAAATGAAATGAAACAAAGATGAAACAAAATTGAAAGGCGGACTTGATCTAGTTGTATAATGAGAAGTAGGTCAGTAGTGTGTGTTTGAAGAAAAACTTCTAGGATGGCAGTGGAGGTAGTGGATAGCTAAGCATTCTCTCAGAAAGACAGACGCACACAGCATACTTTGCAGAATCACTACAGTCTCACAGAGAGAGAGAGAGAGAGAGAGAGAGAGTATAGTCTTTTTGACCAGAGCACTTTCTCTTCAGAGATGTTTTATTAAGCTGCATCACTGAGCTGTTCATCATATCTACCTTTGTCCTTAAAGGCACTACTGACTTAGTTTCTCCTCTACAGCTGGTTCCGGTTAGCTTGTGTTTCATATTGGTTTGATTTCACCCAAGATAGGATTTCGATGCAGGGTAAAAGAATAATTATAATTCAGAAAAACTGCATATCTTTAGTAGTAATGTTTCCCAGCGTGCACAGCCAGAATAATCTCCAAATGCTAAGCAAAGTGCATGTGACAGTGTGACACTGGGAAATGCATTCAGATGTGCAGAACTGTGATTACAATGATACCCACCATCTAGGTTCATTAGTAGTAGGACCAATCACAGAAGACCTTTTTACCCATGCCCCATGACGAGCAATAGATAGAATTTGGGATCTCTTAGACTCCCATTATCAATCAGCCTGGTTGGATCAACAAACTAAGCCTGAGTGAGAAAGAAAGGGAGGGAAAGAATTCTCAAATTGAGAAAGTGATGAATGCAGACTGCATGCAGAGTTTTAGCAATACTGAGCACTGTCAAATTATGTTAAATATCACATAAGAGAGTAGCTCCAAAGTAGCTGGCTCCAAAAAGTTTGAGCATTACCGGCATATAAAATAAAGATGGAGTTGGTGTGTAGTGAATGTACACTTTATTAGGACTTTATTAGGAACAAATGTACACCTGCCCATTCGTGCAATTATCCAATCAGCCAATCATGCGGCAGCAGCACAATGCATAAATTCATGCAGATACTGGCAAGAGTTTCAGTTAATCTTCACATCAAATGTCAGAATGGGGGAAAATGTGATCTTAGCGAGTTTGACTGTGGAACCAGTCTGGCAATTCCCCAACATTATGTCTAAACTCTAGAGACTGTTGTATGTGAAAATCACATGAGATTACATTTACAGTATACGCCCTTATCCAGAGCAACTTACATTTATCTAATTTATACAATTGAGTAGTTGTGGGTTAAGGGCCTTGCTCAAGGGCCCAGTGGTGACAGTGCTGGGGATTGAACCCATGACCTCCCCATCAGTCGCCCAACGTCCTAACCACTGAGCTACCACAGCCCATTACACATGTTATTTTATACTCCAAAGAAAACTTAGTTTGTTATTTCTTTAAACCTTTTATCATTTCAGTTGGCTTATTGTTGATGTTTTTTGTTTGTCACAGGGGGGAAAGATTCCTATCCGGTGGACGGCTCCAGAGGCCATAGCCTACAGGAAGTTCACTTCAGCCAGTGATGTGTGGAGTTACGGTATCACCATGTGGGAAGTCATATCCTACGGGGAGCGGCCATACTGGGAGATGTCCAATCAGGATGTGAGTATAATCAGAATACACATACATACAGTGCATTTCAAGTGACATGTAGAACAGAAACAATGAGGTCTGTAGCATGAACATTTACTGTAGCAGAACATTAGACATTATGGGCTGCTACCCCTACTTTCTCTCTATCACTTTCTCAAGGTTTATTACTCTCGCTTACAGAAACATACTGTATACACTCAGTCTAGTTACTGCATAGCCAGCTCTCTCCCAGGGATCTTTCTGTGCCCCATCATATACACATCAAGAGGTTCTGTAGGTTCTGCCATCAGCCTGCAGAATTTCTCTGCCGAAACACTTTAATTCCCCTGACAACAGTTCCCCTAAAGACTGAGAACTGTCTCTTGCAAACTAAGCCAATTAAATGCATCTGGTGGAAGAACATTTCCAGGTTTCTGTTCACAGGCTGCTTTATAACAACAGAATTGAACTCCATCATGCCTAGCTCATGGCAGAGTTTTCAAATGATAAACATTTTGATTTCTTTATTTCCACCTTGGAGAGCAGTGCTCTGGCAGGAAGTTGGGACCAGCTAAGATTAGGAAATTATACAGCATGGCTAACTTGCAACTTTATAGTCAGGACATGAGACTGCCTCCATGCCTGTTAAAAGTGACACTTTGAGAAGAATTTTGGAAATCTTGTTCACAGCATAAAAATAAACCCATCTGTTCCTTTCCTTTGCCATGGCAGCGGCATCCATGCTGTATATCTGTGTGTCTGAGTCACTATGGTCCTGTGTGCAGAGTTGAGCTAATTGCTGGCTTTGCGTGTAACTGGTTTATTTTGTGTCTAATGGTTGTGGCAGTATAATTATTTTGGCAATTATGCTCACAGTCGACAAAATTCCAAAAAAGCAAGTGGCATGCACTAAATTGTAAAAAAACTGACACAATATTTATTAAATTTATATGTTCAATGACATTTGTTTGACCTTAGATGTCTTTTTTGCTCCTCTTCAGGTGATAAAGGCCATAGATGAGGGCTACAGGCTACCAGCACCCATGGACTGCCCCGTGGTGTTGCACCAGCTCATGCTGGACTGCTGGGAGAAGAATCGCAGCGATAGGCCTAAGTTTGGACAGATTGTCATCAATCTGGACCGGTTGATCCGCAACCCCAGCAGCCTGAAACAGCTGGCCAACAGCACAGTCTGGTGAGAAAATGCTGATATGCATAATTCTAGATCAAGTTTGGTGCAGAGTAATATTTTGAAACCCTTATATTTAGCAGTGGATTCCCCAATGGGCCCAGTGCCTCTCATAAAATTTTACTAAGTAATGTGTTAAAACTTTTCAACAAAAATTTGGATGACCAGATCTAAAATAAAGGCTTGAGTAAAATGTGTTGGTTCAAACTGTTTGCTTGTTTGTTTAATCATGGATCTTGATGGCTAATAATCTCAGTTATCTATGAAATTTGTTACTGATTTTTGCTCAAATATATGTCGGTCTGGGAAAACCTGTCGGATGTTGCTGTGGCTGAATTCTGTGGAAATGTTTTTATTTACTTTGTAACCTTGCCTGTGCTACCTGCCTGCAGAAGTTATGTTAGGTAGATAAGAAGCTAGCTTAACAAACAGGGCTATTAAAAACAGTCTGCCTAAAAATAGTTAATCTGCCTAAAAATAGCTATCCTCATGTAGCTAAAAATGCTTTCCTCATGTAGTGAACTTTATGCTTTTGTAAGTTGGGTATGTGCCATAGCGAAATGGACATAAGCCTAATAGCTTGTAGAGTTTGTAAATGGTGTGAGACTCTAGTTTATAATGTAAATCTAGTTTCTAATGTAAATATAATTAATTCTAATAATCAATAAAGGTTAGTTCGCCCTTTAAAAGAATAACATGAAGGATATCATTATTAAACATGGAATGTCTGCTGGAAGGATGGAACCTCTGAATATATTATAGTCTATGAATAAAAGCTTGTATAGTTTTTAAGATCATATTTGTTATTGATATACACTATATTACCAAAAGTATTCGGTCACCCATCCAAATGATCAGAATCGGGTGTCCTAATCACTTGGCCTGGCCACAGGTGTATAAAATCAAGCACTTAGGCATGCAGACTGTTTTTACAAACATTTGTGAAAGAATGGGCTGCTCTCAGGAGCTCAGTGAATTCCAGCGTGGAACTGTCATAGGATGCCACCTGTGCAACAAATCCAGTCATGAAATTTCCTCGCTCCTAAATATTCCACAGTCAACTGTCAGCTTTATCATAACAAAATGGAAGAGTTTGAGAACAACAGCAACTCAGCCACGAAGTGGTAGGCCACGTAAACTGACGGAGAGGGGTCAGCGGATGCTGAAGTGCATAGTGCAAAGAGGTCGTCGACTTTCTTCACAGTCAATTGCTACAGAGCTCCAAACTTCATGTGACCTTCAGATTAGCCCATGTACAGTACGCAGAGAGCTTCATGGAATGGGTTTCCATGGCCGAGCAGCTGCATCCAAGCCACACATCACCAAGTGCAATGCAAAGCGTCGGATGCAGTGGTGTAAAGCATGCCGCCACTGGACTCTAGAGCAGTGGAGACGCGTTCTCTGGAGTGATGAATCACGCTTTTCCATCTGGCAATCTGATGGACGAGTCTG